TTGAGCCCCAGAAAACCCTAAATCACGGAGAAGCACCATTGTTGAGTGGATTGGAGCTTGGAGAAGTAATTGTTGAAGGAATTTTGGGAGATTGAAGGCTTGGAGCAAGGGGCTTTGCTTGGATTCGAATTGCATTGCAGTTGGGGCATCACTTAGAGGTAATATCTCGTTATTGAGCTGTTGTTATGTTGTTTCTTCATTTTGGGGTTTGTGAGAATTTGTCTATGGATGAAATGGGAAGTCTAGAGGTTAGATCTGAGGTTGCTACCTCAGATCTGGAAGGGAGAAGAATCAGAGAGCATGAAAGTCCCTGTGTTGGAGTGTTTAGTGAAGCTTACATGTCCCAAACCCTAGCCCAATGTGCAAACGGCTTAGATCTCTTTGGATTCACGTAAAGTTTGCCACTTTACGTGATGGATGAGTGGTAGGAGACTAGATCTATGTTTTGGAGCAGTTGCATGGCCTGGAATGCTTCGGAATGTATTCAGACCGGTGGTACTCGGCGAGTCACATGGGTGGACTCGACGAGTTGGATGAAGATGGCCTGGAACTCGGCGAGTTGTATGAACAACTCGGCGAGTAGGTTGAAGATAGCCGTAGACTCGGCGAGTCTGTTCTTGGACTCGACGAGTCTTGTCGAAGAGTCCCAAATATTCTCTGGTTGAGTCGAGAATCGGTGAGTCGAGGATGACTCGGTGAGTCGTGTGCGAGTGGACTCAGAGTTGTTGGACTCGGCGAGTCTCGGGGTGACTCGGCGAGTTAGGTCGCAGATTGAGTGAAGTTCTGATTATGGGAACTCGACGAGTCACAGGGTTGACTCGGCGAGTAGGGTCAGTCAGGGGTTGACTTAGACTGAGGACTTTGATTTCGACCAAGGGTTGGCCGTTGACTTTTAGGGTTTGGTCAGCGATGTGGCCTTTGGGCCAAGAGAGAGGTAAAATAGTCTTTTACCCATAAGAGGGTGTTATGAGAGGATTTATTCTAGTCTCGAGAGTTATATTCACGAGAGTATTTGCCTTACGTGTTAGGCGGTGGCGAGTTCGAGATTCAAGTGTGGGGATATCTGCTTTCTGCTTGCCAGGTGAGTCTTCTCACTATACTTTACCTTGAGTAGGTAACCAGAGTTATGTGATCAGAGTATCTGTATGCTATATGTACGTGATGTGTTGTACTACATTACTTCTATGTGATTTATGCTATGCATGTTTATAGAGTTGGAACCGGAAGGTTCCCAGAGTTAGAACCCCGAGGGTTCACAGAGTTTGGGTGCACGAAGCCATAGAGTTATAGCCTTGAGTGGCTAACATGTGTTATGTGTGGTATTTTGGGGAACTCACTAAGCTTCGTGCTTACAGTGTTTTGTGTGATGTTTTTTTTGAGGTTTCTTTCAGTATCACGGGACGGCACCGGCTTGATTGTACACACCAGAGAAAGAGTCATATTTTGGAGGATCCTGGTTTTCTATGCAAGTGAAAATGGAGTCATGTTTTATAAATCGACTATGAATGAGATTTTAAACAAGTGTTTCTAAGAATAAAATGATTATTTTAAATGAAAAATTTATCTTGAAATTTACGGTGTTACATAAATTCCATGGTGGTCATTCCCTAGTAAATTCTGTGGTGGTGATTCCCTAGAAAATTTCGTCGTGATTAATCCCTAGCAAATTCCGTGGTGGTGAATCCCTAGTAAAATTCATGGTGATCATTCCCTAGTAAATTCCGTTGTGGTCATTCACTAGCAAATTCTGTCGTGATGAATCCCTAGCAACTTTCGTGGTCATGAATCCCTAGCAATTTCCGTGGTGTATATTATATATCAGATTCGATATATACCGATGGATAATTGATTTATAAATTAGATCCAAATTATTTTGTAGTAATATATGAAAAAAATAAGAAAAAAATCAAAACCATTATATCATAAAGTAATACAATAATTATTTATTATATGGAAAAAAGTTGCAAATCTGAAATAAATACTCTGCAATAAACATATATCAATACACTTTATGACATACTAGTGCTGTTGTTTTGTAAAGACGTTAATAACATTCAATGCCGTTTGAAGTTGTTTCTCAAGATGCCCGCCCCTTGCCTTGTTTTCTTCTTGTTGGGCCTTCATCATTTCTTTAAGCTCTTCGTTTTTCTCATTCTGTTTAGCAAGAAGCTCCTTCATTTCTTCTATTTCATCATTTTTTTCCGAAAGGTTAGATACATCCGTTTTACTGTTCCTATTAGGAACTACCTTTGCAAAAGAGCCTAATCCATAAGGTCTTTTTTTTCATGACCACCAACAACATCATAAAATAGCTTGTCCTCCTCAAATTCAACACCTTCAGCTTCCAACTCTTCCCGTTTTTCTGTGTAGGCCGCCTACAACATAAAAATAATTTAAGCTAAAAGATATAAATTTATGAATGATATTTTGAACTAGCTGCAATATAAAATTTTAACACTGAAATAAATATTAAATGAATTTGTCTATCTTTTTCATTTGTGAAAGTGACTCCATCGTGATTCTTCGTGTGTGTATACAGGAACTATTCACTATAGGGTGGATCACATCCTAATTTCCTCTTCTGCATAAATACCATATAAAATGTCAAATATACAGATAAACATATATAAACATTGATACAATGCACCATTAAAAAAATTACCAAATCAGAAACAATTTTCAAATGACTTGCGGATCCAGCGTTATGTATAGGTTTTGCTACTCCATCAGCCACACTGTTACGCCTATTTTTCTTGTTCTGATCAGATTTTAGCGTTAACTCTAGTCAATACCAATGTATTAAGAAGATAAACTACTGATGAGAAGAGAGAAACAAACAATAAAAATAAATTATATATGAAGGCATTACTACGCATGCAAACTATTGAATACAATCAAAACCAATTTATTTGTAATTTAAGATGATAATATACTTAATGATGATCACAGAACAAGAAACGATCATCATGATTACAGTAAATTAAATAAAAATAAATTTTAGATGAGTGACAACCTATATCGCTAAATTCAATGCACAAGCGTATAATAAACAAAGATTTCGATCAATTAGCCATCGGAGATGATGATTACAGAAAATGTAAACCCTATTTCTAATCAGTAAACTTACCCTAATATGCAGCCTAAACATGTGTAGGTTGGAGGGAAAGGAATTGCGAAATATTTTGAAGCTCCTCTAATGACAAATTCAAATTGTGCTAATTACCGCTAAATATTTAGTAATTCAATTTCATTAAAGTAGTTCCAAATTGACAGATAGGTATATACATATAGCTAACGTCAAGAAAGAACATAGACTAACAAGGTGTGCATAGTATAATTTAATTAAAATTATAAACGAGGATTAATCATTAATAAACGATACATCTTTATGCTTTTATTTTTAAACCAAAATTTATATATAAAAGACGTATGTGTCATGTCAATATATATATGGTAGTTGCTTATGGTGTCATGGTATCACCCATGGATGATATATGGGTCATTGGTCAACATGGTAGTTGCTTATGGTGTCCATGGATGACATACGGGTTATTGGTCAACATGGTAATTGCTTATGGTGTCCATGGATGATATATGGGTCATTGGTCAACATGTAGTTGCTTATGGTGTCCATAGATGACATATGGGTCATTGGTCAACATGGTGTAGTTGCTTATGGTGTCCATGGATGATATATGGGTCATTGGTCAACATGTAGTTGCTTATGGTGTCCATGGATGACATATGGGTCATTAGTCAACATGGTAGTTGCTTATGGTGTCATGGTATCACCCATAGATGACATATGGGTCATTGGTCAACATGGTAGTTGCTTATGGTGTCCATGGATGACATTTGGGTCATTGGTCAACATGTATAGTTGCTTATGATGTCCATGGATGACATATGAGTCATCGGTCAACATGTAGTTGCTTATGGTGTCCATAGATGACATATGAGTCATTGGTCAACATCTAGTTGTTTATGGTGTCCATGGATGACATATGGATCATTCGTCAATATGGTAGTTGCTTATGGTGTTATGGTATCACCCATAGATGACATATGGGTCATTGGTCAACATGTAGTTGCTTATGGTGCCCATGGATAGGGGTGTTTACGGGGCGGTTCGGATCGGATACTAAAAAATTTATAAACCGTGACAACGGGGCGGGTACCTTGCTAGCACTAACCGTAACCGAACCGAATTGCTAAAAACCCGAACCGAACTGAACCGTATAAACGCGGGTAACCATGGTTCGGTTCATGGGTTTCTGTTAAATATAAAAAATAATAATCAATCAAAACTACAAACTCTATTTTAAACAATTCTTTTCTAAAACTAAAAAACTCACAAAATTAAGAAAAAAAAAATCAATGCTTGCTAATAAACCAACTCTTTAATATTATAAAACCAATCATCAATTCTTTGATATATTGATATATTGATATTTATTAATTCTTGTTTTTTTTGCATGTGGCGTCAAACTAATTATTTGGTTACGAAGGATAATTAATTAGATATCATAAAACCAACTTCACTTCTAGATTTTCTAGATTTACGCATAACAAAACACAATATATTCGAATTACAGTAAAAAAAAGTTAATTCTTTGATGTTTAAATTACAACCAAATATATTAATATAACTGAATCTCATATATATATATATATATATATATATATATATATATATATATATATATATATATATATATATATATATATATATATATATATATATATATATATATATATATATATATATATATATATATAACAGTTCGGTTCGGGTATCCGTGGATATCTAAATATTCAAACCGAAACCGACCCGTAGGTACTCGGTTTTTTTCGGTTTTGGTTTTTCCGGATTCGTTTTTTTTCGGTTTCGGGTTGGCTGGGTTAGCTCGGTTTTTCGGTTTTGCGGTTTTTTTGTACACCCTATCCATGGATGACATATGGGCCATTGGTCAACATGTAGTTGCTTATGGTGTCCATGGATGACATATGGGTCATTGGTCAACATGGTAGTTGCTTATGGTATCATGGTATCACCTATAGGTGACATATGGGTCATTGTCAACATGGTAGTTGCTTATGGTGTCATGGTATCACCCATAGATGACATATGGGTCACTGGTCAACATGGTAGTTGCTTATGGTATCCATGGATGACATATGGGTCATTGGTCAACATGATACTTGCTTATGGTGTCATGGATGACATATGGATCATTGGTCAACATGTATAGTTGCTTGGTGTCAATGGATCACATATGGCTCATTAGTCAACATGTGTAGTTGCTTATGGTGTCCATGGAAGACATATGGGTCATTAGTCAACATATATAGTTGTTTATGATGCCTATGGATGACATATGGGTCATTGGTCAACATGGTAGTTGCTTATGGTGTCCATGGACGACATATAGGTCATTGGTCAACGTGGTAGTTGCTTATGGTGTCATGGAGGACATATGGGTCATTGGTTAACATGGTAATTGCTTATGGTGTCATGGTATCACCCATAGATGACATATGGGCTGCAAGATTAGTGAACATAATATTATGGTTATTCAATTTGAAGAAACGGAAGTTACTTTAGTTTAGCTGGAAAACGCATCTTACTTCTTACCCGAAGTCGCAGGTTCGAATCCTACTTTTGTCAATAATTTTATTTAAATTCATCTCTCTAAATTTAAACAATAATTTTATTTAACTTTATCTTTTAAAATTTAAACTATCAATTTATTTACAAAAATACGCCTAGGTATTGACAAAAATACCCTAACCATTTATGTAGTAACCTTTGTACGTTTAAGGGAAATTATGTCAATTTATAGTCTAAACACCTAGGCATCATAATTTGGAGTGAGAGTCATCCCGTCATTTCAGTTTATCGGCGGTAGATCAACTACAATCCATTCCCAACCATTAAACTTCTGGCACGCTGATCAAAAAAACCTAAAATCATTGTTGTTACATAATTTGAATTACAATCGAAGCAGTTCAACAAAATGGTAGCAAGTTCATCATAAAAAGAATGCAAACAAGACAACAAGGAACAAGGATCACTTCTTTGCCATTGTACTTGATTGAAAAAATAGTAACTACGGTTGGGGGTAAATCACCAATCGATGCTTTTAAGTGCTAGTTAGTGTAAGTATGATGTGCATTACTTCTATTATACTTGTATACATACTTAATTTAGTGTTTAATAGATGAATTTTGTTGATTTGTGAATTGTAGTTGCAAACTCTTTAGGGATTCTGTAACATCAGACGCAATATATAAAACCATAGACACAAATCGATTAAGGTTTCATCCATTAAGTGTTCATATGTATGAAGTCATAAGAAAATGTAGAAAGTTGAACAACCCACACGTACTCTTCAACGATGGAATGGTACTCTTTTTTTAAACCATACAAATAATTATGGATTCAATTAGTTTTCTATATTTGTATTTTTAAAATTGTATGATTACTTATTGTATGTCAGGCGAAGTATTTTACAATAGGGAAAGAAATATCAGGGAAACAGTTGCTTCAAGATGCAGCCGTTCAGGGGAAGTTGGATGCGATCTTCGTTCTGGGAATGATGTTGATGGCCGAAGGCATTGAAAGGAAGCAAGAAGATTTGATCATGTTAAATAATGCATACTTTAATACTAGAAGAAGTTGGAATATAAGACATACCTGTAACAAGGTTAAAAATCACTTAGTAAGGAGAAAAAAGCAGATAAAATTTCATGGCTTACGTAGAAGTTGTGCAAAGCATCCTTCTATGAGCAGTTATGGAACAACTTTTATGTATCAACACAGTTGGTTGTTGAATTGTGATATTTTTTTGTGGGATGCATGTTTGGTTAAGTTTGCTAGGATGTTTGATGTTAGTCTCGAGTAGTTATATATATGATTATTGTTTGATTCACACAATTACTGATGCATATTGTATTTGTATTTTGGTGTAATGGGAATACATACTTTTAATTTTATTAAATGTTTATATATATATATATATATATATATATAATATATATATATATATATATATATATATATATATATGTTATTTTTTATATATATGTTATTTTTGCCTTTTTCATTTTACTAACTAAAAGTCCACTGTGACCTATAATAGGTTATAATGCTTGAATAATGTGTTTTGACTGAAATACCCTTAGTAGTCACATATTTGGATTGATTTCAAGGGCACGTTGGTGTATTTGCATTCTCTAAAGTGAAGGCGCCATTTTTGCTATGGAATAAAAATAAGTGATTAATCAAGTAGTTATTAAGGAAAATACTGTATATAGAATTTATATTTTAAGTAGCTCTGTATCTATATTTATTATAAATGTTATTTAAATTTATAATTACCTGTATACTACATGGGGTTTAACATGGTATTGAACAATATCGACCCAATAATTTGACATAGTATCCATCCAACACATCGAAATCAAGAGTTGTTGAAGGTTCCTTAATCGATACACACTTTGTTTGAATATGTGTTCTGCAAGTTTCAATCTTAATTAAACCATTCTACAAATATTCTAAGCCATTATCCAATTATAAAAGTTATTCAACCATTCAAATTATACAACTTTGAAGATCGATTCAACATTCGGTCATTAGCTTTGTGAAACGAGTCGTTGTTAAGGTACCTTTGCAATGTTTGTATGGTAATTATATATTTACTTCAAATGTCATATATGAATTCAAATCAACATTAATGAACATACAACATTGTTTTATTTAAATTTATGCTTTAAAGATTTAAGACAATGAACAATCCAAGTAGAAAGTGGATGTATGAAAGAAAAGATAATCGTAGTTGTGTATCGCTTGTTTTCGTACAAGGAGTGAAAAATTTATAGATTTTTCTACCAGTCAACATAGGTTCATGGACGAAGATAAAATCAAATGCCCATGCATCAAATGTCGTAGAATACCATATAGAGAATTTGATATTGTTAAGCATCATTTGTACAAGTTTGGTTTTGTTGAGGAATATTGGTTTTGGGATAAACATGGCCAAACATCAATTGATGATGACAATACGTTTTAGGGGTGGATGATTTAAACACAAATTTTAGTGAAGGTGCATATTCTTATAGAGAAATGGTCATAGATGTAATGGCTCCTGAATTAAATACTAGTAATCCTGAAGAGGAGCCAAATGCACTAGATAAAAAATTCTTGGATGTGCTAGATGCAGCCGATAAAGAATTATGATGTGGATGTAAAAAGGTGTCACAACTATCTGCTGTAGCTAGACTATTGAATATAAAATCAGAGTATCGCATACCTGAGAACAGTTATGATGCTATCTACTAGTTGATAAATGATGTGTTACCAGAGGAGAATAATATGGTAGGTAGTTTACACGAGAGTAAAAAGTTAATAAAAGCACTAGGTTTGCCTATGGAGATGACTGACTGTTGCAAGTCTGGATGTATGATATATTAGAGGCAAGACAAATATCCTTATCGGTGCAAATTCTGCAATGTAGGTAGGTACAAACGGTCAAAATTTTTGGCTAGATGTTCTCGCGTATCCTTTAAGAAAATGCATTACTTTCCTTTGACTCCAAGGTTGAAGAGACTGTATGCTTCACAAGTCACAGTCGCTTCCATGCGATGGCACTCTGAGAATCATGGACATAATGTTGGAGTAATGTGTCATCCATCTGATTCAGAAGCTTGGAAGCACTTTGACAAAAGTTATCATTCATTTGCAGCAGAAGTATGTAATGTAAGATTAGGCCTAAGTACAGATGGATTTGCACCACATGGAGCATTTGGAAAACAATACTCATCTTGGCCTATTATTATAACACCTTATAATTTTTCACCTTCTATGGGCATGAAAGAGCCTTACATGCTTTTGACCGCACTTGTGCCAGGACCGTCAAACCCTAAGCATAAAATAGATGTATTTTTGCAACCAGTTGTTGCAGAGTTGGATCAGTTATGGGAAGAAGGCGTAGTAACATATGATATATCTTTAAAACAAAATTTTCATTTAAGAGAAGCTTTGATGTGGGCAATAAGAAATTTTCCAACATATGCAATGTTGTGTGGATGGTCTACAACAGGTAAGCTAGCATGTCCACATTATGGGAAACATACACAAGCATTCAAACTAACGAATGGTAATAAGATGTCATGGTTTGACTGCCATAGAAGATTTATACAGGTAAATCACCCATATAGAAAGGATAAAAATAAGTTCAAGAATAATCGTGAAGCGACAGGAGGTCCTCCTCCAAGTAAGAATGGTGAACAAACTTTAAGGGAGATTGAACAATTAGGTTTGGTAAAAGTGACTGACCTAAATGTTGATGATGTAAACAAAAGAGGTGGCGATCATGGTTGGAAAAAGAAAAGCATATTTTGGGATTTACCATATTGGAAAACAAAACTCGTTAGACATAATTTTGATGTTATGCATAATGTGAAAAAATGTATTTGAAAACTTTTTTTACACTGTAATGGATGTCAAAGGGAAGACGAAGGACAATGTAGCAGCCAAAAGAGATCTGAAGCTCTATTATAGGAAGAGAAAAGGAGTCGATGATAATGAAAGAGCATACTATGCTCTGGACATGAATCAAAAGAAAGCCATATGCGAATGGGTGGAGAAATTATGTTTCCCCGATGGTTATGTTTCTAATTTTGGGAGGTGGGTTGATTTAACAGTGTGTAGACTGTTTGGAATGAAAAGCCACGATTGTCATGTTTTTATGCAAAGATTGATACCAACTGCATTTTGTGAGATGTTGCCAAAAATGTATGGGAAACATTGATAGAGTTGAGTATTTTCTTCAAAACAGTAACAACAACATCAATCACAACAAAAGACTTGGAAAGGATTGAATCCGAGATCCCAATAATTCTATGTAAATTAGAGACCATCTTTTTCCCTGATATTTTTAATTCCATGGAACATTTACCAGTAAATTTGTCATACAAAGCACAGATAGTCGATTCGTCCAATATCGATGGATGTATCCATTTGAAAGGTTAGTATGGTACATCATAATGTATATATGTTGCTATTTTTGTAAGCTAATTTAACTAATCTTCACTATAGATATCTAAATTAGTTGAAAAAAGATGTAAAAAATAAAGCTCGAGTAGAAGGGTCCTTTGTTAACACATACTTGCTACATGAAGCATCAATATTTTGCTCTAATTATTTCGAGATTAGTGTCCCTACACGTAATAGAAAGTTGCCTCGAAATGATGATGGAGGAGGAGATTAGCAACCGGATGCTAACAATGGAATGTTTGATATATTTTCATATCATGGGCGTCCTTAAGGAAGATTCACGAATAGAATGATGTCTGATGAGGAAGTGGATGTTGCCCAAACTTACATACTCCATAACGAAGATAAGATCAAGCATTACATCAGATACGTAATATGCATCACTTTAAATTATAATTGTGTAATTGCTCTAAAATAACATCTCATGCATGATTTTGTTTATTACATCATAGTAACTTTAAAAATGTTATTCAAATAGTGATACAGAATATTTGAAGAAGATATGATAGAACTTATTACGGATATGGATGAACGTGAGCTTGCAGCTAAAGTTGAGAAGAACTTTGTAGCATGGTTTCAAAACTATGTGAGTGTTATTTTTGTATTTTTTATATTTATTATTTTTTGTTATACTTATAATTAACTCTAATTAAGTGTTTTACCATTTTTCATATAGGCACATAAGATCCGGATAAACAACAAGTATATATCTGACATTTCCAAAATGCCATTCAAAAATGTGAAATTATATAGTGTATACCTTATCAATGGTTACAAGTTTCACACAGAAGCTCATGGTCGTAACAAATAAACAACCTATAGCGGATTATGTGTTAGTAGCCAAGGAAGTGATTATTATGGTAAGGTAGAGGAAATTTTAGAAGTCGAGTACCCTGGTTACCCACTTAAAACCACAGTTTTGTTTAAATATCATTGGTACGATCCAACACATAACATAGGAGTTAAGGTTCACAAACAATATAACTTGGTCGAGATAAACTTCAAAAGAAAATACAAGTTCGAGCCGTTTGTTTTAGCCATGCAAGCCACAAAGGTGTGTTACATTCCTTACCCAAGTTCGAAAACAAACAACTTGGACGGTGGGCTATATTTAAAGTTAAACCTCGTGGTTGGACCAATGAAAATCATCCTCAGAAAGGCGTTGCTTTCTAAGAACATGAAGTTGAATCAAATGAAATCATTATACCAAGTACAGGCGATACATACAGTTGTGATGTTCAGGACATGTCAAGCAGCGGCTCAGATAATGAAAATAACATTGATGAAGAAGGTGAAATTCAAGAGGATGACAATGATGGTATTCCTGACATCGAGGGTAGTTATGAGTATAGTACATCGAGTAATGAAGAAGAAGAGGAGGAAGAAGATAATGAGTAGATGTTTTTGTTTCTTTACAAAAGGATGGTTACAATGTATAATTTTTAGTTTTTGCATGTGACTTTGTAAATGTGATGTTATGTACTAGTGTCCTTCATGATAATTAATTTAATAAAATGAAATTTTATCATTCTTTGGTACATTGAAAGCATTTACTAAAACGGGATATGCGTTTTTGAGATATTTGTATGTACAATATTTTCATTAAATATCCAATTAAGTAATCGTTTATGTTATAATCCAGTTTTTGTACATTGAAATGCTTAAAAAGTATTCAAGATAACATAAACATATATAATAGCAAATGTTTGTTCTTTCCTATTACTAAATACATATAAAATACAATAAAACAAACAAAATATATTACCAATTAAAAACATATCATTCTAACCATATCTTACAAATTCCATTGATCATAATAATAATAATTCATCCATAGAATAAGAAAAT